CATCCATCTTTATTTGGACCGCTGTAGACTAGCTCGCGATGAAACTCAAGCATGGGTTTCCCTATCCGACGGGGTCCCCAGAGTAAATTTCGAATGTCCCCAGCTCATCGACAGAAAACAAAGATGCTTGATAGATGCTGGAGCTCGAATGAATCTCGTAGAACTCTACGCACTGAAATCATACGTCCCTATAGACACTTCTGAAGCAATAGAATTACGCGGACTCACGATGGACACCTTATCGACAATAGGAACTACGAAACTTAACATTTTAGGAACAACGTCAACTTTTCACGTAGTAGATTATACTCTACCGACTGACAATGTAGATGTCCTCGGTAACGAGTTCTTAATTCAGGAAAAAGCCGAAATACTGTACGGTTATCAAACCCTTCTCTTAGCTAGGAATCAAACTCATCCGATAAATTGGTATTTGGAAATCAAACCAGATTCTCCAATGACCGTTCCCCCGCGTACTCGTATGGCATTTCCCATTACAATGTCGAATCCGGAAATAGAGGCAGGATTCCTCCCCCAGATAGAACTCGACGATGGACTCTTCGCCGGTGAAGCGGACGTACAGGTTCAGGAAAATGAGATAGCCGTTGTTATAGTTATTAACGCCACCACAGAACCAGCAAATGTCGAGATACCACCTCAAAAACTAATACCTTACGAGTTCCGACTCGACACAGAATTAAGAGAGGAATCTAGCTCCGACGAGGCGGACTCATCTTCCGAAACCGAAAATTCTAAAACGAAGTTGAGTGCCTCTGAACGAATAGCGAAGTTGAAAGAATTAATTCACATCCATAGGTTGAGCCAACCGGAAGCTCCACAAGTAGAAGAAATCATCACGGAATTTCACGATATTTTTTTCCTCCCTGGTGACCCACTAGGCTGCGCGAAAGATTTTACCTGCAAAATTAAAACTACAGATGACAAGCCTATCCATATGAAACAATATAGGTACCTTATGGAACATCGGGATGAAATAAATAAGCAAGTAAATAAAATGCTTGAGGTAAGGATTAAAAGGTATAATCGGTCCCACGGAATCGCCTTATAATTCACCGCTGTGGATAGTCACGAAGAAAGCTGACTATAAAGGAAACAAACGCTGGCGATTAGTCATCGATTTCCGTGACCTAAATAAAAACACCATAGGAGATTCTTACCCAATGCCCGACATTTTGAAAATTCTTCACAAACTCGGTAATGCCAAGTATTTTAGCGTGTTTGATTTAGCAAACTGTTTTCACCAGATAAAAATGGACCCAGAAGACAGAGCAAAAACTGTTTTTACCAGTCCTGAAGGGCATTGAGAATATCGGAAAATGCCATTCGGTCTTAAGAACGCACCGGCGATTTTCCAGAGGATGATGAACAAAATCCTAAGCGGTCTGGCAGGTACTGAATTATACGTATACCTTGACGACATTGTAATATTTGTCAGAGGGCTCCAAGAACATTATCAACGCATTAAAAGGTTATTTAAGCGACTCCGCTCTCAAGGCGTTTCACTTCAACCCGATAAATGTAAATTTTTATACAAAGAAGTAGGTTATCTAGGTCACCTTATCACCTGCGATGGCGTTCGACCAGACCCAAGCAAAATCTCGGCATTAAAAGACATGATTCCACCCAGAAACGTCAAGGGAATACGCAGTTTTCTAGGATTCGCCAATTATTACAGAAGATTTATCGCAGATTGTGCACAGAAGGCTCAACCTCTAACCAAGCTCCTGAAAAACACTACGAAATTTGTTTGGGATGAAACTAAAGAGGAAGCTTTTCGACTCCTCAAAGATTCAATTTCCAACGAGTTACGTCTATGCTATCCAGATATGTCTAAACCTTTTATTATAGGTGTACACGCGACAGAGGTCGGAATAGGGGCAGTTCTCAGCCAAAGGAATGATTTAGGCGAAGAAGTACCAATAGTCTATACCTCAAGAACTCTTCTTGAGGCCGAGAAAAGATATAGCCCTGAAGAGCGCGATTGCCTAGCGGTTTTCTATGCTATCAAATACTTCAGGCCCTACGTCTACGGAAGACGTTTTGTTCTTTACGGTACTAGCCCTGTAGTAGCCTGGTTGAAAGATACAATAACTCCAACCGCGCATCAACTCAAGTGGCGTTCTCGACTCCACGAGTATGAATTTACCGTTCACGGTAGGAAGTTAAGACGAAAGCAATACGCCGATGCGTTGTCAAACAACCCCTTGGATCTCAACAGCAGAGAGACAATCCCTAAAAATTCAGATAATGATTCAGATGATAACCTGGAAAAGAAGGCAGTTACGATCCTCCTGAGCTTTTCGGGTAGGCCCAGAGGACAGAGTGCCCCTGAACCCAAGACTAATAAACCTGAGTGCTGCAGCTGAAGAAAAACTGGTCTCATACAAAATCACCAGGCCCTACACAAAGACCAAACCATCCACCGGGGATAAAATTCGAGGAGAAGCGATTGCACCTGCACCTAAGAAATCCGCAGCAGGAAGCTCGCGAAATATTCAACCCTTTGTCCCAGAAACGAGGCAAGTGAACAACCTGAACTAACAGAACGTGAAGAAACTAACGAGGGATTTACAACCGAAGAAACACTGGTTGATGATGTCTTCACACCATCAGACCCAATGGACACCGCCCCAGCGGAATCAACGACTCCACCAAAAGGAACCGTCACAAACTCTCCCAAAATCACCGACGTCGACCCCGCAGTAGTAGTACAGTTACCACCTAAAGAAAACCCAGTGGATGAAGAACCGGAAAATCGATCTTCCCCCTGTTCCTCGCAACCTGGGACAAACCAATCACCTGGAACAAATACCGACGAGACCCTCCTTAACGACAAGGAAGCTATTGGTGAGCTACTCCAAGAGGAGCCAGTCAAATACATCTGAGACGACGTTAAAAGAAGTATAAGCGAAAGCATACTTATGTTCGACAAATTCCTAAAAGAATTTCCAGTAGAATACACTCCTGAAGAGAAAGAAAACCTCAAAAGGGATTCGCGCTATTCGTGGGAACAGGACCCCAAATAGGTAGATCAACTTCCCACCAAAGAAGTAACAAATGAAAAGGACGAATAGTCAGAAGCTGAGGAAGATAACGAGAACAAAGATGAAGACCTAGAAACTGAAAACGAAAGTGATAATGATGCAAAAGAAAATACTGAGGAGCAAAGGCCTCTAAACCAAACCACTTTCCAACCCGAAGTCTCTATCTTGAAGAAGCGATACTCGGTTATACCTCAGAGAAGCGACAAAATAGTCTCCTTCGCACTGACACCTCAACAGAAAGAATGGAACAAAAACCTAGAAGCCCAGGTATACCTGACGAAGAGTTCCAGATGGAGAAAAAGTATATGATAAATTTGAAGCCCCCATTCCACTAGGAGACGACGTCGTCCTGCAAAGTGAAAATCTAAAGTACAGTAGAGATGGTCTGACCTTCGAAAAAGATCATATAATTCATTTCACGTCAGTCGATCTCATCCCTAATCGCGGAACTGGGAAACTTTTAGAATATCTGAGCTACATAGACCGAGAAACTCTACTAAAATCAGAACCGAAACTAGGTCAAATCCTATTCCAAAAGAGGGACAAGTTCAATACCTTCCTGGTAATCATTAAACGAACACAATACGACTCAGTAAAACCATCAGAATTAAAATTATGTCTCCACAATCTACACTACGCCCTCGAGGTTCATCAAGTCACATCTCTCCGTATGGCCGAGACCGACAATGAACTAAAAGGCGTAGAAATTCTTCATTTATACCTGAAGAACGAGTTGAATGGAAGCATCATTGTCATTACCTTATGCAGAGGTAATATACAAATGTCGGACCCAGCTCTTCGCCCGGAGATTATAAAAGAAAATCATGACTCACTCATGACAGGCCACAAAGGAATAGTCAAAATGTATTTACGAATAAGAGATCGCTTCTGTTGGCCGGGAATGAAGGCAGATATCGAAACCTACATCAGGAAATGCAAAATTTGCCATTTAGCAAAACTCAGGCGGATCAAAACCAAACAACCGATGCAAATAACCGGTACTCCCACAAGCTGCTTCGAGAAAATTTCAATGGACATCGTGGGACCTCTCCCTAGGACACCCTCCAAAAACATTTACATTCTCACTATCCAGGATAATTTCTCAAAGGACTGTACCGCCGTCCCTATGCCAAACGCCACCCCCATTGAAGTCGCCATTGCACTGCTAGACTTTTACATAGCCATTTATAGCTGCCCTAAGATTACTCTTACAGGCAGAGAAACAAATTTCACCAGTAAACTCATCGCTCACATGGCAAGAATCCCGAGAGCCGAGTATATAACAACTTCAGGATACCAACAACATAGTAATGGAGCTTTAGAACGAAGTCATCACGTCGTAGTCGAGTATCTGAAAACCCTCTGTAAAGACAATAGAAGTTGGGATAAACTTCTTCCTTTCGCGATGTTCTCGTACAATACCACGGTCCATAGCGCGACAAACTTCACCCCTTTCGAACTTCTATATGGAAAAAGAGCACGCGTATCATCCGTCATACATGAACTTCCCGAAATCGATTCATACGAAGACTGTCTGAGCGACCTAGTCACCCATTTAGATAACATCCAATTAATGGCGGCGAAAAATTTAATTAGAGCCGAAGAAAAATAAAAAGAATATTATGATCGTGACGCTAAACTGGTAGATTTTAAGCCCGGAGAATTCGCGTATGTCCTAAAAGAAACGCAGACAGGTAAATTCGACGATCAATAAATCGGACCTTTCGAAATTGTATACACAACGATCAGAGGTGATGTAATATTGGAGACGTTCGAGGGTGCAAGATTCATGAAGCACCCAAATAAGCTAAAGAGGTGCCCTGATTAATCAGGACATTTTTCCAGCCTAATCTTAAATCATCAGAACATAATTACTAACACTGAGAATTCATAGAAGTTCGACAAAAAATCTTCTCTTCTGTCTCCAGGTAACTAATGGAGCAAAAAGTCAATGCCTTCCCTCACTCGGGCCTAGAAGTCACTCAAGGTGGACGAGTGAACGTATACGTGGATGGGTCATGCAGCTACAACGGTTGCGCTAACGCCATTGCCGGAATAGGCATCTGGTTTGGTGACAACCATCGATGGAATACCTCCAAAACCCTGAAGGAAGCCAGAGTCACCAATATCGTTGCTGAAACCCTTGCCGCGATCGAAGCCATCAAAATCTACAAAGAAAAAGATGTACCGAAGTTGAGAATAATAACCCACTCTCAATATCTCATCGACTGCGTACTCCAATATATGGGCAAATGGAAACAAAACGGGTGGTTGAACGCGAAAAACAGACCCATAGTAAATCAGGAGTTACTCAAGGTACTAGACCCGTACATGGAAAATACAGACGTCATCTTCCAGCACATCCCAGGACACCAACGGTTCTATGGAAACGAACAAGCCAATCGTCTAGCGAAAATCGGCTCAAAAATCCAGAAGGAAGGGAAGGGTCGCCAACAACGGAAATCGAACAAATCGACCCCAATTACCCCGACGAACTGAATCTGGAAAATCCTGACCATTACCTTACTACTGGTCATCCACGTGGAAGCACAACAACCTCCTTTCGAGATTCATCCTCTCACACACCACCCAGGAATCTACTACGAGGCCATAGACACCACCAAAATGGCTGCAAAATCTTGGACCATTTCCGTTGCTATCGACGTTCAAGTTGTCGTCGGATCCCGTACAACGGGCTGGCAGAGGTTCAGCACCCTCCGAGAACGATGTAAGGACAACACTAATGGAACCATCGCGTGTTCCCAAGCACTTGGGATAGTGGCACAGAAGAATCTCGAGAAAGAAGCCAAAACACTCCAGAATCACATCGAAGACCTGCTAGAGGAGAATCTCCCCAGTGAACAAACCTCCAGAAGACGTCATGACATCGAAGATAACCCCACCAGCGATAGTGAACCGATCTTCGGGTTCCTTGGTAGAATTTTCGACCCCATAGTTGGAGTACCAGACTACACCCAACATCGCTGGCTAGTCAAACAGGTTGCTTACAATTTGAACTAGGGCAAATTGTAAGCAATGCTACGCATATCCTACAAACTGAAATCGAAGACAACCTAGAGCATCTCAACCACATGCAAAATAACATCCGTCTCCTGAAAGAAGATGCCGAACAACTCACTCAAAAGCTCACGTACGTCTCCGATAGACTAGTTAAGATGGAATACATGTACGTGGTCATGCAGATTGGTATCGAAGGATTGGAAATATACAGACACTACGTCGACACCCTTAAGAAAGTCTGCGAAGCCATCGAAGAAGTTAAACACGGGCGAATCAGCCCCTACCTGCTCACGCGTCAACAGCTAGCAGATGCCATTAAGGATATCCGAAAACACGAACCATGTTTAGAGTTCCCGATTGATGCAGATACCTCAGACTTGGGCCTTCTCACCATAATTTCCACCATACACCTGTTCCACTCTCAAGCAAAATTTATCGCTTGAATTACCGTTCCATTGATGGACAAAACGGTCATGAAAATGTGTCGGATGATTCCCTGCCGCATGCCCCAGATCACGACAGGAAATCAAACTGCATCAGCCTTCATCCAACCATCCACGGAGTACATAGTGGTCATACTGGATCGTCAACACTATTTCACGGTGGACCAGATCTATTATCAGCAATGCATGCCCCTGAAGACCTCGCACTTTTGCCCTATTCACGTCCTTGAGAATTAACATGACTCACGCTGCTGCGAAATTGACCTCCTAACGAATCCATCCATAGAAGCCATGAAGACCTGTGACATTCAGATCCTACGCGTACATAAAACTCAATGGACGTCTACTACTGCAGGAGTCTCACACGTGGCTATTTTCCACGGCAGAAACAACTACGTTAAATGTGGTATACAGAGGGACGTTAAGCTATACGTCCAGTATTGAGAAAACAGGAATTTTACGCCTTAGTCCCGACTGCGAGGCTAAGACATCCTCGAACGTATTAAAAAATACTGGCGCTGGCGAGTCCCGACTCCCCGATCTTCACGTGATACCGCTGAACTTGAATCTCTCACTGTTGTCACCCAAACTGATCAACGAAGTTGAGCTGCCGAACTTGCTAAAAACAATAAAATTAAATCCCTTGCCAAATAACACTAAGGCCACCGATCTACATGCATTTCAACATACCCTCGACCTGATTATAAACCATAAGATGGACAAATATCAGGGATATCCATATGGGTATCACCGGGTTCATTGGAACCTTCACTCTGCTGATCATCGCAAACCTGATAGCGTACGCCTGCAGAGGCCAGTGGGCAAGCATCACCAAATTATGCTCCAGCAAGCGTCAACCGTCCTCTGACCAACGCAGAAAAGAGGTCAACTCCCCAAGAATCATCTTCAGTCCTCGGGAAGACGTGGTCCAACTCAAGCGGGTTCGGCCCGCTATACCAGCCAGACCAGCGATTACGCAACCACCGCCAAAACCGACGCCAGCGTCCCCAGCAGAAGAAGACTTTGGACTACCGTTGTATTGATAAGTTACCTAAAATCGCAATAAAGAATGAGTAACTTATGTAAGAAGATCCTGTAATACGTTAATTGAAATTGAACTTGACAAAAGTTAAACACTTAAGCTATCAAAAGAGTAGAACTCAAAGGATATTCTTACGCCAGTAAAACCTGAACAGAAGACACACTAGGTTTAAGAAGTCACTAACACACACATGGGTTACTCAATGAGGTATTAGATAAGAAAACTTCAGAAAATTATATAAAACGGGATAACAAATACGCATAAAATAATAAAAAGGAATAATTACCTTCATTCCAAGAAAATCCAATATGTGAAAATTCTCCCCTAGCGAATAGAAAATAGAAAATAGGAAAAACTTAAGAAACACCAGATAAAATAGGATAAGAATAGAGCCAGTTCAAAGGGTCAAAGTGAGAGTTTATTAAGGAAAATAAATTTTAAATGAAAGAAATGATAAATTAGAAATTTTCCCTCGCTACAAATAGCCGAACAACCAGTCCCGGATTGATTAAACGTCCTTGTTCAAGATTGGCTTGAGAATTTTAAATTAATATTTATTTACCACGAATTGTAATTTCACGAGGTGCCGGAATGGGAGAATTAATTAAACACAATTTAAATGTAACAATGTTTAATTGCACTAAACTCAATATAATACACTTTACGTATTCAAAATAACGTAAACTATATTTAATTTTATGATATTCACGGAGCTACGATTGACTGTCTCAGAATCCAAAGGGTAACTGCATGACTCAATACGCTGACCAGTTGATCGGTCGATGACCGTGAATTTCGGCGCTCACATCAGCGCCTTCGAGTGCTAGAGTGCTTTTATACTCGCAATCGCGAACATACCACCCTTCTCGTTTTCCAGTAATTTAGAACGAAGGAGTTGCAATCTGAAACAGTCTCAAAAGATTAAATACATCAATATTATAGGGGTTATATCCCCTGCGGCGGTTCACCGTCCGCCATGGAGTCTCTCACGTGCAGGGGGATCAGCTTCACGATTGGTCGAGTGTACGTTGAAGTGCCCGTCTTCACCTTTACAGCTCTAACCTTGCCGTCCTCTCCTGGGTATGTTTTGAAGACGCGGGCTAGGGGCCACTTGCATGGTGGAGTCGCGAGGTCCTTGATGAGAACTATGTCATTTATTCGTAAGTTCTCCCGTTCTGCGCGCCACTTCTGTCGTGTCTGTAGCATGTGGAGATACTCATTCCTCCAGCAATTCCAGAAGTTCTCATTGAGGTGGTGGATGAACTGCCAACGCGATAACCTGTTCTGCTTCAGTTCTAATGTGGATGAGGCTGGAACCGCGTTCATTGGTCGGCCGATGAGGAAGTGTCCGGGAGTTAAGACAGCGATATCTTCAGGATCATCGCGGAGGAGTCCAAGTGGTCTCGAGTTCAAGTTGCACCCGATTTTACTTAGCAGTGTAGTACATTCTTCGAAGGTTGGCGTGTAGTCGTCTAGCAGTCTCTTCACCAGGTTTTTTACTGACTTCACTCCTGCTTTCCAAAGTCCACCGAAATGTGGAGAGCTGGGAGGGATGAAGTGCCACTCGATTCTCTTCGTTGCGATGTTGGCTTGAACGTCAGGGTTCTGGTACACTTCGTCTATGACTTTCCTGAGTTCACGTTCTGCTCCTTGGAAAGTGGTACCATAGTCGCTGTATAAATCCGATGGTAATCCACGACGCGACGCGAATTTGTCGAATGCAGCCAAGAATGTCGGTGTTGAATAATCTGACACTAGTTCCAAGTGGATTGTGCGAGTGACCATACACACGAAGAGCGCGATGTAGCCCTTGTGTGATTTATGTCCACGTCCTGGGGTTGTGCGAACATTAACAGGTCCAGCATAGTCTAGCCCAGTGTGTGTAAAAGGTGGCGACGGTGTTACTCGCTCTGGTGGATGAGCCGACATGATTTGGTGCGCTGGTTTCCCGTCGTATCTAATGCACTCCACGTATTTGTGGATGTGGCTCTTTACAAGGCGTCTCGCGTTCAGGACCCAATAGTTTTGTCTCAGAGTACTTAGGGTCAGCTAAAAACCTCCGTGTAGTGTTCTTTGGTGAATGTCCTTGATAAGGAGGTCTGCGATTCTTCCTGCTGGCAAAATTATGGGATGTTTCTCCTCGTACGAGACTGATGCTTTGGAAATACGTCCGCTCATTCTCATGATGCCATTATCATCCATTACAGGGTGGAGTGGGAGCAGTTTATCCTTGGTTGGAAGTTCTTGATTCACTTCCAGTAGGCCAATTTGATGCTGGAACTCGTCTCGCTGGGTTTGTCTGATCCAAAAATCATACGCTTTCTCTATTAAAGCCTTGGATGAGAGTTGTGATTGACGTTCCTTCAACGCGTTCAAGGGTTTCAAGCAATAGGCTGTGATCCTCAAGATCTTCTGCCACGAGGGGATAAGGTGAGGTAGCTCAAGAATGTCTCCTGGCTCATGATCACCAACCGCTTGAGTTTCCCGCGTTGTCGTGCATCCTATGAGGTTGTCTTTCTCTTCGGTTTTTGTTTGAAGAGTTGGGTTGTCGATGGTTCCTTGTTGTGGCCATTGACTTGCATCAAGTTTTAGCCATTTTGGTCCAGTCCACCAAAGGTCATGTGTGACCAGATTTGCGGGTAGAACTCCGCGAGAGGCACAGTCGGCTGGGTTCGATGTAGTTGGTACGTGATGTCAGTCGGCAGTTGGGAATCTGGTCTGTATCTCAGATACTCGATTGGCAACAAATTTCGGCCAGTGTGATGCGTATTTTTGAAGCCATGCACTATTTGTGAGTCACTCCACGCGTGAGTGGGTACTGCTACGAGTTTCAAGACTCGAACCACCAGATGTGCGGCACACAGCTCAATTTTTGCTACTGTCTGGTGCCTTGTAGGGGCGACCTTGGATTTTCCCATGATGAGGTACACTTCTATTGGGGTAATCTCGTCTCCTCTTATTTTCAGGTAGACTGCAGCAGCGTAGGCTTGGGTAGATACGTCGCAAAACCCATGTAGTTCCAGCTTTTGTGAGTCTGGTGTCCATTTGAGATATCAATTGATGTTGATCTCTTGGAGAGTTGTGAGTTGAGACTGAAATTTTTTTCACTTTTCAAGAATTGTCTCGGGCACTTCTTCGTCCCAATCTGTTCCAAGTAACCATAGTTCTTGAATAAGGATTTTTGCTGTGATTGTAGTGGGCGTGAGCCAGCCCACTGGGTCGAAGATCCGGGCGATAGTTGAGAGGATTCCGCCCTTCGTGGCCTTGCTCGAGTTATTTGAGGACACGGAGATTGAAGGTGTCTTGATTCATATTCCATTAGACTCCAAGGACCTTGACGATTTCCTTCTGATCGAATTTCGATGTAGGGTCGCGTGCTAGCAGCTCGCAGGGGACTGCTCTGAGGCTTTCAGCATGGCTAGATGCCCATTTTCTCAGGTTCATTCCACCGGAACGTAACAGCAGTTGTAGCTCATTTTGGATGTCTCTGGCTTCCTCACTTGACGAAGCTCCAGTCAAGACGTCATCAACGTAAAAATCACGTTCCAGTATAGCGGCGGCTCGCGGGAATTTCTGTCGTTCGTCCATAGCCAGTTGTTTCAGCACGCGGTTAGCCAGGAATGGTGCTGGTGCAGTTCCATACGTTACTGTTTTTAAATCATATGATGTCACTTTCGTCGTTCCAGGTGGTTGCCACAGAATTCTTTGGAAGTGCTGCTCCTCAGGGGCTACAAGAATCTGTCGAAACATCTTCTCGATGTCTGCTCCCAGTGCCATTGGATGCATCCTCCATCTCAGGATGACATCGAGGAGATCAGGTAGTAATTGTGGACCAATGTACAGATGATCATTGAGAGTGGATCCATTGGTGGTGTGGCTAGAGGCGTTGAATACCACTCTGATCGGTGAGGCCAAACTATCTTCTCGTAAGACAGCGTGATGTGGTAATTACACCGGCCTCTGTCTAGGATCCGTGTTTTCCGAGGATAATTTCATGTGTCCTACATCTTGGTATTCCATGAGAAATTTGTCATACTCACATTGATGTAGTGGATTAGCGAGGAATCGGTTTCTCTGTCTTTCCAAGCATTTCCTCACGATACCGTAGGATTCACCAATCTCTAGAGGTAGTTGACTCTTCAGGGGAAGGTGCACTATCTATCGTCCACTCTTTTCTCGCGAATGCGTATCCTTGAAGTGGTCCTCCACTTTCTGATCCTCCTGATTCAGGCCAATGGGGCTAGAAAGCTCTTCTAGTTCCCAGAATCTGTGAATTGAATCGTCGATAGGTTCCCTGATAATGCAATGATGAGCTGACGCGTGAGTCTGTTGCTCCAGGGTTCTTGAGAATGTCTGAGGGCCTGACTACCCATCCGAAGATCGTCTCTTGCGCCATGGGAGAATCAATAGATCCCTTTGTTATACCTTCTAACAGAATAGCAGGATATAAATCTGCTCCAATGATCACATCGATTTTTCTGTTGTCCTTGGGGTCAGCGTCTGCGAATGTCAGCCCTTCGAGATGACTCCATTTTACTTGGGTGAGTTCCCTTCGTGGGGCGTATGATGTAAGCTTGGGAAGGACGTGAGCGATGATCGGGAGTGACGGCTCCCTTGAGTAGCACGGTTCCATAGCACGCGACGCTGCCGTCTTGCAGGATGCGGTTTTGTTCCCTTTAACTCCGGCGATGGTGATGTTGACCTTGACCTGTGGAGCGCGTAATACCTGCGCTGCTGACTCGCTAATGAAAGACAACTCAGATCCTTGGTCCAGGAGAGCTCTAGCGATTATTGTACGACCATCGATAGTACGAAGGCGTACTCTTGCGGTCGCGAGTGACACTGAATTGGTAGTGGATACTGCCTGGTTGCTGTGACATGCATTAACCTTTACTGCTTCTTCTTCTTCATCCGAAGAGATAGGTCTGTCGCTCTGACCTTCAGAGCTGGAGCTGTCAGCGTCGCTATTACCGCGTTCAGCCTTGGCGGTGTTAGCTGTTCTCTTCTCACTTCTGGGCCCCTTGGATGACCTGCAGACGATGGTGTGATGTTCTCTCTAGCAATTTTTGTAGCGATCTTGCTCCTCGCTGTCTTTGGCCGTGTGATCACTCTTGAGACAATTGAAACAAAGATTATTAGATTTAATAAAGTCATTTGTCATTTAATCAAAGTCAAGTTTATTTGAGAGGGACTTAGCCTTGAAAGAGAAGCAAGTGGTTAAGGAGTGATTTTTGCTACAAAAGGGGCACACGACCTTTTCCTCAGTAACAGCGTGCATAGCCTTAAAGGCTGCCTTACTGTGCTGACGCGTGGAAGTAGTACTGGCCGGTAGACGGTCGAGTCTCTTAGCGCTTTCATCGAGAAAGGCCTTGACTTCCTGGAACGCGGGGAGCTCGTTGACATTGTTGATGTTCAGCTCCCAGTGCTTGCGTATTTTATTATCCATCTTGTTGACTGTGAGGTATACAAGGATATCATCTCAATGTTCGACATTCCTTTTCAGGTTTGAGAGGACTTCACGTGCGCGAACGGTCTGGTCATGTAGCCGGGGTGCTTCATCAGCTGTCTCACTTTTCATCTTCTTGACACTAAACAGCTCTTTCAGGTGTGTCATTCAGAATTCTCCAGACAATGCTGTAGTTGTCCTCAGTCACATCCACGTCATCGATGAGTTCGAGGGCGTCCCCTTCTAATGAGGCGCGAAGGATAAAAAACTTCTGAATCGTGGGAATGGCTGGATTATCATGCACTAGCTTCTTATAAAATCCTCTGAAGTTCTTCCACTTTGCGATATTTCCACTGAATTTAGGAGCCTTGATTTTTTCGAGTTTGAAGAAGGAGTTTTCGAATTCTTGAGTGGGTTTGGTGTCTTGTGGTATGACAGGGGGCGGCGATAATCGCTCCGTGGCTTCATACGAGAGGATTTTGTCCTTCATGTATTGAGCTTCTGCCTTTTCAAACTTCAATTCGGTGAAGTATGCACTCTGCTTGTTCTCCTTCAGAACACCCAGCCTGTGCAAGCGCCTGTCAAGGACTTTGGTCTCAAAATAATCAGTCTCCAATTGTTCCAGCGCGACCTTCATAGCACTCAGTGTCTTAGATTGTTGAGGTAGGGCCTTGAAATTGGTGTTCATGCGTTGCAGAGCCTCGATACGTCTTTCTTGAGTGTCTAGGGTCTCCTCAAATGTGTCATCATCCGCGATGAGAGAAGCATCCAACGTTGCATGATGTTGACACATTTTTGCACTATTTCATTTGATATAATATAAATAACTGTGTGAGAATTAATTTAAAAAGTCACTTAATCACTCGAGCAGCACAACGTCAGGGTGCTCAGCAATGCTCTAGTATAGATCACTCTGTTATTCACTGAAATTATTTTCTAATTTGGATTTCAATTAAATTGAGTTTATTGCACAGAGTCCGTGGTGGGGATATACGGCACTCATTCAATTTAAAGATGGTGCGTGTCAACCGCGTTTTTGCAAGACGGCACTGAGCGTCGTTACGCGTTTGAATTTCCCGAGTGAAGCGCCACGGGGTTCATAATAGAGATGCCACGAGAAGTACCAGTGTGCACACACGGTTGCACGAGGGTTATGGTTGAGTTTTACTCTGTTTAGCGTATCCTAAATGCAATAGAATGATTTGTATTAATTTCAGTACGTCGATTACCGACGTTAATTACTCGAAAATCGCACTGAATCTCAACAAACAAATTTGGAAAGGAGAATTTTAATGCTCACCACGTGGGAGACGCATTGTAGTTCGGTTACGCACGGGGGTTTACACTCGGTGACGCGATTTATTCCACAATTTATCGTCGAACGCGAGCTGATTTATTTTTAATGTCAAACTTTTCGACTCTGGCGAAAAACCGACCAAACAATTAATTGTGTTTAATTAGTTTAATGTCCCGCCAATCCGGC